GACATTTGCCAAAAAATGGCACGTGAGCTGAACACATTGCAATAATCCCTTCGGCAAAAATTGAAAAATGAGCTCGGGGTAAGCCCACCCAATAACGGTTGCAAAATGAGGTTCCTCCCTTCATTTCTAGCGCACAATAGCCACCAAAATCTCCAGATACCAATCCGTTGGACTATTGTGTATGTAGTCTTTTGGAAAGCAAGGTTAGCACTAGAAAATAACAAGATCAACATTTGGGCAGCGTGTGCCGGTTTCATTGGCCGTTCGAAGGCAAAAATTCGTGAAAAAGGGGACCAATTCGACCAAATCTAAACTTATTCTAAAATTTGATGCTATATCCGACATTTTTGCTTTCATTCAATAAAATTTATTAAAAATGTAAAAATTATGGCGTTTGAATTTGTTACAGTTTTTATCTCACACTGTAGGTATATATTTTGATAGCTCGCAGGTCCCAGGTCCATAAATATGAGCTAGATCTCTGAATCATTATGTCTAGTTTGACCAATACCGGACATTGCTTTAATTATTTGAATATTTGACCTTTTGCAGAAAAATTATCAGTCTTCACAATAGTTCTTGAAACTAAGTCTTTTAAAAATATTGCGATATTCAAATCTCTCTCTCTCTCTGAGATATTCAATTGTTATTATTTTGCCAATTTTTACCATTTATAGGGTTACAAGAAGGGGAAGGTGTGACCGAAAATTATTCATTTTCGAAATGTCAATTTTTAACTGAATCGGATACTACGGATGTACATAGCTAGCCAGAATCAAAACATATATGTATACCCTACGTCCCTAAGGCTGAGATTAGCAAATATTTTTTATAAGAAAAAAGTTCGATCAGACCAGGGTTTTTTGTGAGTGTGTAGCAAAACCGGGACCTATATTGGCTTATTATGAGAAGGAAGTGTCCATCCAATAAGAGTCTAAAAAGTAAAATATTGAGGATATACCAAATATTCAAACACTCTGAGCATTTTTGATCCTCATATGTTGGCAATTCTCTAAAAATGTTTCAATATGAGTATACTATTTGGCAAAGGGTTTATGGCTGAACCGAATAGTCCAAAGGACAGTCCTTACATACCTCGTACATTATAGTATGACTTTATAATCGCCCTATATTATATGCACTAGGCTGTAAAAACAAGAAAATTCTTTTTTTGGCCATCAAGAGCATTTCAAAATCAACTGTTTTTCTCAAATAAAAACTTTGAATTAATTTTTGTTGCCAACATCTCCAACAACGTCTAGAACTTTGAACTCAAAGCCAAAGCAAATATTTTACAAAAGTTGAAGTTAAATAATTTCAAAGAAAAAATATATTTATATCGATAGTATTCAAATACTTTCCACTTCCTCCGAAGTATGTTGGCATATTCAAACATCACCCAAAGCCAGTAGATCGAAAAAATCCATACTCACCATACCACACGAACACACACACTTCTGACCATTGTTAAATATTGATGTGGTCATGACGATGTTGCACAGTTTAATAGAAACCAAATAAAATGTGAAATGTCAACAAACAAAAGCATCGTTAAATACCACATCCTCACAGGAAGCCAATGATGGAAGGAAAAAGCAAGTGACCAAAATTGGTGGACAAGACAGCATCGAAATTAATACGTTTCCTATGAAACATAACTGGCATAAAAACGGTCAATACAAGTGGAAAAACATGCGGGGTATTTTCTTCGAAGTGGAAAAAGAGACTTTCTTTAACTTTTCGACTTGCCAATATTGTTTACAAGACGTTCGCGTGTCCTTTCATAGCTGAATTCTGTTTAAAGTGATATTTTTCGCAAAGTGGCAAACGCTTTTTGAGAAGCACAACAATTAACTTGTTTGTCGTTAAATTGAAACACCTGTGGGCTATTCAAATCCCGCCAATGTTATAAAATCTTCATCATGGGTATTTTCAAGTACTAAACAAAATTTAAATGGAAAGACCTTAACCTTTCCAACCAGATTGAATATTTTCTCTGAAGATAAGAGGAATAAGAAATTCCTTTTCCTTCGAAATTGTTAAAAGGTGCACACGTGTATTACCAATACTGTTGAATATGTATATATATTTATTCAGTGGCCAAGTAACAGTTGCCCTACCTCTAACCTGGCAAATAAAAATGTACAACAATCGAATCATAAAACATGTCTCTGTAGTTTGCCGCCGTCAATGTAGAAGGATATCCAAGGATGCAAGTAAAGTTCCTATAACTCGTCCGTCCATATGTTTGACAAAGTTGAATTGACTATAGAAAATTGCTTCCTGCTAAAGGCTGTGTGATGACAAAAAAAAAAAAAGAAGAAGAAAAATATGACATACAAATCCGAGTGAGCATATGTAGGTGTGCCTGCGTGTGTTTTCTTTTCACTTTTGCTTTGACGTTCCCAGGTGAAACTTCTAAATTGGGTTTAGTGACATTTATGAAGTTAAGGATATAAGAAAGTAAATTTAAAATAAATATCCTTATCGATTTTTCCATTTAAAGGAAGATGATCTAAGCATATGTAGCAATCTCTTTTTAGTTCTATTGAACAAGGTAATTGAAGTTTCGTTGAAGCGGAAGAAAATCGCAGGGATTTAAAAGTAATATGTACAAATATTTATATTGGCAAGTCTATAAGAAACTACTGAAATGAAAAGGGGTTTGAACTAGAAGTTGAATTTTGTCTCAAACCGGCAGAGACTATATAAAAATGCTGTAAATGTGTATCTATATGCCGGCGAAAACAATTAAAACCCCCAAAGGCCTCAATCATTTGCTGACAGATATAATCTCTCTCGAACCGTACTTTTCTGATGAGAAGAAAAATATGTGTCTCCTTGCCAAGCTTATAATGTTTTTAAATAGAATGGTGTACTCGTGTATAAATATATGGGTCTTCTCTAAATGTATAGAGCGATCGTTAAGAGTTGAAGAAGAAGGGAAAAATTGTGGAAAACCGTGGTAATAACCACATTTTTTAATCGTATCTCCCGTATTCGGTATTGTGATGATTTGTATCGGAAATCGTTATTGGTTTTATTTCCTATGGCAAAAAATTACCTATACAGGTAGACAATTTCAGAATTTTTCCGATTCTAGTCACATTCTTCAACGCAATTAAATAAAGATCGGAATATGCATCCTTTTCTCTGCAGATAATTGGTTATAAAAGTCTTAAAACGTAATTTTAATTAATGTTTCGGAATTTTTTAACAAATTCGTTAAACAATTCCTTCCAAATGGCAGAGGATATTACCGAAAAAAAGCTGTTTTCGTGTCCTCCACCATAGTATGGAGGGTATATTAAGTTTGTCAATCCGTTTATAACACTTCGAAATAACTCCTGATCAACATAAAAATCTATGTCAATTTAGCGATGTTTGCTCGTCTGTGGAAATTACTTTAGCCTTCGAAGAAAATTAAGTAGGTTGATAAAATTTTAATCAGATATGTGTCCTGTGTGCAGGACTTGAAAATGGGCTATAAACGTCCACGTTTTGGTATATTTGATGATTTTAGTGACAATTAGAAATTGTTTCTATTTTTATACCTTCTACCATTCTATGGAGGGTTTATTAACTCTGCAATTCCATTTGTAACTACTCGAAATATTTATAATAAACCCTACATAGTATATTTATTCTGGATCATCGTAAAATTCTAAGACGATCTAGCGATGTCCGTCTGTCTGTCAGTCCGTCTCTCTGTTGTAATCATGCTATCTTTCGAACGAATTGAGATAGAAGGCTAACATTTTGCATACATGCATAGTTTACCCGTAGGCAGGTTAAGTTCGTAAATGAGTCATGTCGGTCCACGTTTTCGTATAGCCCCGATATAACGGTTCCTCCCGATATTCGGTATTTTATTGATTTTAGCAACATTATTTACCGGAATTTTTTCAAATTTCATATTTAAAGTTTAAAATTTGGTATTTGAAGTTCGTAATCGGTACTAAAGCCTATGATAAACAATTTCGTAAGCAGGTGCACGTCTACGTGTAGTCTCCATGTAACCGTTTTCATTTTAAGTGTTTTTTAGTTTCCGGAAGTTTTTGCTTTATTACTTGTTTTTTATGAATATGATAATGGCCTATTACAAAAATTGAATAGTTTTTGAATATGTCCCAATATAACGGCAACTCCCTATGTTCGCCATTTTTATGCTTTTAGCAGTATTTTCATCCGATTTTTTTCTTGAAAATTCGAAAATTCCGTCCAAGCTGTGGAGGGTATTAATGGTTCGGAAAGACCGAATTTATTGCTTTTTCACTTGTTTTATTTGGTTCCACTGCGTTATTTTAGACAAATTTGGTCGATTAAAAAATAATTAATTTTTTAGGAGCTATTGGAATTTTTTAAATTAACCTTTAAATATTCGTTTTAATTGATAGTACCGTCTTTATAATTGAATGTTTTTAAGATTATTAGAAATATGTACTGGCACTGCGCCTCAAGTGCGTCCGCTTCGTCAAATTTCATTTCCAATTTTTATCACACGAGAAAATACCTCAATGTGTGGGGAAAATACTCGGATTATTGGAGTTATAGCTTTATTTTTACCGATTATTACCAATTTTGGTGCACAAAATAATTAATATCGGACGAAATATATATGGGAACTACATCTAAATTTGGATCTATATACAATTAATAGGATCAAAATTTGCTTACTACTCGTACTTTGCTTACAAAAATACATAGACAGAGGGACTGATGTACCGACATGAATAAATAGACTCAGAATGTGAGTTTATGGAGATCACCAAAGCGATCTACCTCGTTTCCTCCTGTATGTTAGGAGCAAATTTTCGAAACCAAGATACCATGTATGACAATGTGGTGTAGGGTATAATTACGCCATTTCTGAAGATAAGCTCCATTTAAATAGTTCCATTTTACTTACTATTAAAATTTTAAAAATGCTCAAAACTTACACTCATCGGATCACTCCGTGTGCAATAATCTCATTACACATAATTAATAAAACACCCGTGTAATTTTCAATCCGTTTTGTTTTTTGTTTATTTATTTTAAAGTTATTTAATACTATTTCATTGTAAAAATATTTTCCTTTACGATAAGCAACAAAATAGAATTATTAAAAAAATGAAGAAATGAAATATGAATACATGAATGAACATGAATGCAAGTAAGGAAATCATATTTTCATATTTACAAAAAAAAAGAGAAGGAAAGAAGAAGAGGCAATAAAAAGAAAAACGTAGAAAATGTACATAACACGTATGTCGGTTGTGTGTCGCAAAGTGTTGATGTGCAAAGAGTCACTTTGTCATCACTTGACTCTATTGATGATTAGTGGTATTGGTGTTGATGCTGGTGTTGTTGTTGTTGCTGCTGCTGGTGTTGCATATGTTGCAGTTCAGTGCGCACTGTGCCCGTCGATGAAGACGTTGTTGATGAGGACGACGATGATGTGGCTGAGTTTGATTGCATCGATGATGCCGCCGAGGACGAGGACGACGATGATGAACATGAAGATGTTACAGATGCAGGTTTCCTGTTCGATGGATGTGCTGATGATGACGATAAGACTCTGACATCGTCGTAGCCTCTGACAGCTTCATCCGTAGCACTTGTCTTTGTCATCGGAACACCCGACGACGGCAAAGAGGAACAGGCCGGGTCCTGCTTTGCATGCGAAGTCTGCACGTTGGGATCCCAAGTTATGTTTGGAATTGATGTCAATATGTTTGTTGCCAGGGGTATTATATTTGCATTTGTTTTATCCTTATTGATAAGCTGTTTGTGCTGATTTGGCTGCTGGTTCTGATGCTGGTACTGATGTTGATGCTGATACTGTGGGTAATGTTGGTGCTGCTGCTGATGATGCATCTGGGTGTGCTGCTGGGGAGTTACATTTGCATTTCTATGTAATTGCGGTATACGTGATTGTGACATGGTCGGTTGTTGTTGTTCTTCTGTTGATATATCACCGGTGGCTGATTGTGGTGTTGTTGTCGTTGTTACTGTTGCCATTTCCGCTACATCAGGTGTTTGTAAAGTTTCCTTGGATGACACTTGATTGTCATCCAGTTGCATTGGTGTAACTTGACAGCAATTAGTAGTATCTGTGGCTTTAGTGGATGCTGATAATGTGGCTGCCGATGACGGTGATGATGACGACGACGATGATGCGTTGGTGGGTGAAGTGGCTGCTGTCTGTGCTATTGTGGAATGTATTAGGCTGGTGTTGGCCGCTAATGTTGCTGCTGCTCCAATTATCCTGGGTATGTGCGATTTTTTGGGTTGGGCATAAACGGGCATGTTGGTGCACGCTGTTGTTGTCACTGGTGTACTCGGTTCGGAGGCATAACATGACGGATGATGTTGCTGCTGCTGCTGTTGTTGTGGATTAGTTGCTGGTGCCTGTATGCTGTAGACTTTCTGCGTCAGATGTGCTGTCACTTCTCGTTCAGGTGTCTCGTAGATGGGCGATGACTCAAATGATTGAAATACTGATTGCTGTTGTTGGAAATTACTTGTATTAGTCTCAATTTGTGGGGGCTTGTTCTTCCTCTTCAGCGTGGAATAGTAGCCTTCGGTGGGTTTCAATGAACCCACAATCAAAGTGTTTTGTGTTATTTTCGGTTCTTCTTCCTCTTCGGTGCAGTCTTGGGCCAGCATGACCGGCGAAGTGGTAATGTTGTTGCTGTTCCTGCGTCCCAGTGATGGTTTCCTTCCCAGTGTGGCCACAGTTCGGGGTGGGGGTAAGGGAGGATGCTGCTTCATCTGTTGCAGTTGAGTGTGATGCAGGAAAAAGGAGTTGGGAGGCAAGGAGTTACGTTTGTAAGTGGTGGATAAATCCTTGGTCATGGGTGGAGATTCTGTCTCACGGTCACGTTGCATGAATGTGGGCAGAACCTTGGGATATTTCCGTCGTTTAATGACATCGACTTGTTGTTCCAGTGTCAGGCTTTCGTGGGGCCATTCATCACTGTCATCCTTACTTGTGACATTAATATCTTGATTATTTCCCGTCTCGGCCTGCATGAAGCTGGTAACCTTTTCTTCTTGTTCAGGATCCAGGCGATAGTACATATCGACGGGATCAGATCTTGAATGGGAGTGCATCGGCTGTATGAGCTCGCTGTCACAGGCTTCGGTAACAGCCGAATGCTGGCGCATCAGGGTATAGCGACTGTTATCCAGCGAGTCTTGGGGTGTCAAGAGTTCCTGATCTTCCACCTCCACCTCCTGGCATATGATCCGATTGGCCTTACTTTTGGTCACCTCTATGGGTTCCTGTTCCATGACACTGCTACCTCGCGTCTCAGATGTGGCATCAATGGCAACACTGACCTTGAGCGGATGTTTGCCAAATGATCCACTGCCTCCAATCGAGGAAAAGGAGGATGATTTCTTCGAGTCCTTGTTACTGCTGCTTCTTCGCGGCAATGCTACCTTATTTTGGCCCATCCACTCGCTCACCTTTGTGTGTGTGTCCACGGTGGAGCAACTTAATTGCCTTGTCATTTTAAAGCCATTCATGGAGGATCTTTCGGTCTTAACCGCCTCATAGGTATTTGATTTTCTCACCGCATCCATAATATAGCTGTCACCATCATCTTGATGGGTACTGGGCTTGGAACGCTTCAAGTCATCGTCATTGGTGCCATCGTAGGCTGTCAAAATACCTGTGCCCAGCTTGCGCTGCATTGTTTGCGTCTTCTTTTTCTTCTGCATTAAAATCGTCGAATAGATGATGACATTCAATATTATGAAAATGATAATCAGGCCAATCAGCAGCTGGAGTGTTGTTTCCGATTTGGCCACATGCTCCTGGCTGTCCTCCTCTTCCACAATGCCATCGACGACGGCGGCTTTATTGTCTTCATTTACGTAATTGCCATTGTTGCCCGAGTAGGGATGGCTAAATTGAGTTGGCTCAAAATTATCACCCACTCTGCCCGGCCCGGCTACACCCTGCCCGCTGGCATCGTAATGGCGTATGCCATAAATTGATGCCGAGGTGGTGGTGGGGGCACGAGCCACAAAACCATAGCCGTTGTTGTAATTCAACTCGTAATTACGAGCCTCGCCGCCCTCCTCTGCATTGCCGGGACGATGTCGCACCTTGCCCACATACGTGGTGGAGGGCGGGGCGTTATACATATTTTCGGCAGTCTCTGATGGCTGCTTCTGGCGTTGATACGAGTTTGGTTCTTGCATTAGCACCTTCAGCGTTCGGACCGGATCTTCGGCGCCATTATCACGTGCTCCAAATTTATTCATATGACCGGTTATTACTTCACTGCCAACCATGCCGATGCCACCGCCAGCACCACCAGCACCGCCACTTGCACCATAATGTTTGGGGTAAATTGCCGTGGTTCCTGCAGGTGGCAATGGCGTTAGCGAGGGCATTGTGTTGGCATAGTTGGCCTCCAAAAATGGCTGCTGTTGGATGTGTGCAATTTGATTGAGTTCATCGGGCAATTCTTTATTCCAAAAATGCATGTAGACTTGTCGATATTTATAACCGATAGATGGTGGTATTCCTGTCGATGATGTAGATAGTTGTAACAGCAATGATGATGGTCGTTTGCAAGTTGGTTGGTTGCATTCCATTGGCCATTGTGGGAGAAGAGAATGGCGGGGAAGAGAGAAGAAAATACATGCACTTTTTTTTAAAAAATTGAATAAAAATTGATTTTCAATACTATAAAGCATGGCGAATAGAATAATGCAAAAACTATTCATAAAGCTGCCTGCTTAGCATTATTCATGGCGTATTTTGCAAAGTTGGCTTTATTTTATAGAGGAGAAAATTGCAAAATTGAATTCGGCAATTGTTTGAACAGAGAGTTGATTGTTTTACGTGGGTTTAAATTATGGCACAAAATAAACCGAGTTAGAACGATATCAGTTAGTTAGCAGTGAAAGACTTATGACCTCAGCATATAATCATTGGCATATGTAAATATACGGATCGTATGTGACAGAGAGATTTAATTGTTGAATCGTATTTGAAAAATTTGTACTAAATAACGGATTCCGCTCAACTAATGTACGATTTCAAAAAAAGAAAAAAAAAAACTTTGTCAGGGATTTTCAGGTTCGTAAATAGGCCGTATTGGTCAACGTTTTCCGTTAACCCTACAAAGTATCTTCCCATATTCGTCCATCAAAAGGCTAAAGGGGTACACATTTTCAATAGCCTCCATGTAACGGCAATCTAAAAAAATCAGTATTTTAATGATTTCACCGAGATTTTACCTAAAATTTGTTATTTTAATTTTTGATGATTCTACCTCCGTGGCAGAAACTTGTATAAATGGGTCAATGCTTCTTTATGTTTGGGATTTAAGCCACATTTTTGGAAGTATTCCAATTTTTGTTACTCTTGATTAACTCTTGATTAACTCATTTTTAAATAACGAGAAATATTGCTATTGAGAAAAGAGGAATCATATAGTGCCCATTCTGCCTATCTTAACCTTATTGTTAAAAATACCCTCTTCCAGTTTTATACTAAACTATGATTATTTGGATAGGGGTACCAGATGAAGTGGATCAAACTGCGAAATCGGAAGTTAATCGGACCCTAATTCAACTTATTAATCTTTAATATGTTACCACTTTTATTGGAAAGGAATCGGAAGGAGTGGACCCATATATTTATTCTTCATTCCAAATTTAGTTCAGTTAGAATTATCTGATAATTATTTCGCATAGTAAATTACTCTCGTAATTTTTATTCAAAAATTCGACCATTTGGGGAAAATAAGAGGAGAGATAAGACCCATACTGTCGACCTAATCTACGACTTAAATAGGATACTTCCACCAAGTCGGATATTTTCTGTGACTTCCATGAGAAACTCTTTTTTGAATAATTTGTCAGTTTGTAATTAGGAAAGAGTGCATCGATATATTCCCTCTTTATTTTAGGTCCAATAGTAATAGAAATATTGCATTGTGCAAAGTAAAGAGGAGATTGGTTTCCTTCATTTTAAAGTTAAAAAAACAATTAAATGGACCGATGTTGTCGATTTTTCTACCTTACATAAGTCTGACACAAATAACACGATATGCAAGGTCGCAAGCAAATCGTAAACCCCATCAATTTATACTTCTTTTAAAAAATTTGAATTTTTGTGGATGAAAATATGGAAGACCGTAAGGAGTAGATCGTGTGGCACAACCTCGAACTTCATCTATGTTTGACAAAAAAAAAGTAAAAAAGCTGTAAGTTCGGCTTTGAATACCCTCCACCATTTGGAACTAATTTGGCAATTTAAAAAAATAACTAAAAATAAAATCCGTTAAAAATTATATAATAATCAAAAAAATACCGAAAGTTGCCGCTATATTAGGGTCTATACGACAACATGGACCTGCATAGGCATCTTTGGTCATAAGCTATGATAATATTCAAATGCGAAACTTGAAAAAATCTGTTTATAATGTAGCTAAAATCATCAAAATACCGAATATAGGGAAGTATCAGGGTATTATACTAAAACGTGGACCTGCACAGACAATTTTCTGTCATAGGCTGTAGTATCGATTACGAACTTCAAATACCAAATTTGAAATAATTTCGCTGAATAATGTCGCTAAAATAATCAAAGTACCGAATATTGGGAGGTACCATTATATGAGGGCTATACAAAAACGTATAATCCATTTTCAATACCAAAAGTCCTGTAGACATAATATACATTTTAGTAAAATTTTATCAACCTACTTTATTTCGTACGGAAGCTAGAGTGATTTCCACAAACGGACGGATATCACTAAATCGACATAGATTTTTATGCTGATCAAAAATATATGTATATACTTTGTGGGGTCTAAAATGTATATTTCGAGGTGTTACAAACGGAATGACAAATGAAATAATCCTGTTGACAGTTATTTTACGTACCAAATTGCGAGACATGCAAACGCACATAGATATGGACAAAGCTGTAACCTGACAATTGTTTTGGTTAATGAAACATTAGGTCTAAATCAGATATTTCGATGTCTATTTTATTTAAATAATTTCCGCTTTTTATTCAAAGTTCAAAATAATTATTAAAATACCATCAACCGACTCCATTAAATATAATTTTATCTTTAAAAAAAAATCCTTTCAATTTTCTCCTCTTAAAATAAGTTTTACATTCTCATTTCTTACAACCAATGATAACTATTTATTGACATTTCTTTACTTACCAATATTCATGTATGCCTGCGAACGCTTATTGAATTCTGGCCATTCTAAATCATAGCGATCCCATTCCAATGCATGCAGATTTATGAAACTCTCCTTCCATGGTGCTTTTGGATTCCTACAGGCAAACGAATGTTATAGAAAGAGAAGAAGAAATCGAAGCCAAAGAGCAACTAGATTACAAATGATGATAATTTTGTTTGCAATAAAGAGGAAAATAATCCAATAATGCTTTTTTTAAGTTGAAAAAGTGTTATGGCATTTTATTACAATATCCAACCGGCAGAGGAAACTAAATAAGTGCACAAGTATAACGATAAACTTGAAATAAAATGGCCATCGTTCGCTGTGACTTGGGATAACCTTAGAAGTTCGAAAGAGTAGAACGAAAACTAAAGTGATAGAAATAAAATTTCAATTTCTATTTGAAACTATTACAAAAGATGCTTAAATTTTTGGGGGGTAATGCCAGTGTCACTGCCACTGTCACACTAAAAATGAAAATGAAAATGAGAATGCAATGTATCCAAATAGTGACCATATAACCGAGTTAGAAGAGATATCATGCAGATTCGTTGAACGCAGCATGCCATTGCTGGCTGGAATATCCCGTGAATTTTGTGCACAGTTTTTTTTTTTCGGGGGGTTTCTATTGCATTTAGATACTTTCAGCACTTTGAAGAGGTTTAAAGATATGAACTTTTTTCGGGCTGTTGTTGTTATTGTACTGCTTAGAAAAGCAAGTAGGAAAATCACAACAACTGTTTGTTGTCCATAATAATAATAACAATAATAATGATAATAACAAGCAACGCCATAACGTGCCACTACTTACTGTCGCTGCCGTTGCAGTTCCAGTAACACTCAGCTATTGCCACGGCAACGGCGATAATAGGAGAATCTAGTAGATTTTACAAGGAAATGGAGAGAGGTTGAACAGTGGGCTTCCAAAATTTTGAAATCAAAGAGGTTTTTTTCCTAAAATATTTTCAGCAATTCTCTTGGATGGATTCTTATGTCAGTTTTTTATACCAAAAATTTATATAGACTTAAGATACATTCTCAAGGATATTGCGACGATATCACACACTTATTTCAAAAAAGTGACAAAATTACACATCTCTCTCCTAAAACCAGTCGCTGCCATGGTTTCGTATGGTACAAATTGAACTCATATGTATTTCTGGTAAAATCAGGCTTAGAGCGCTGATTAACACGATGTGGGAGTGAAATGTTAAATAAATCAAGGTAAAAAGTATCAATCGGATATGCCGACAGATGTACAACTTCAGCCAATGCTCGACTTAAAAAAAATTGACTTCTTTTATGATTATTCAAATCGTTGACCCTCTATGGAGTAGGTTCCGAGGAAGTGGGCCAATATTGCCCATTTCGTATCGGACCTAAATAAATATGATATTCAGAAAATGTTAAACTATTGAAAGGATTGGATCGGTATATACACTCCTAACAGAAGATTTTGTGTCAGTAAAATTAATGGGATGCGTGAAGTATGAACAGAACCGGAAGCTTATTTCGGATTTTATAATCGTTTGGTTATTCAAAACTTTGCAACTTTGTGGGGAAGGTACAGAAGGAATGGCCCGATCTCTATCATTTTTTTAACTTATCTTGTGTTGATGGAAATATGTACCAAGTCTGAATGAAATCGGAAGTAAATTTCGCGTTTTATGAGCTTCATGGATATTCAATATTTTGACACTTTGTGGGGGAGTTATTAGAAGGAGAGTACCGATATATTCCATCTTCACACCAGACCTTGGGTTAATAACAATATTGTAATGTGTGTGCAATTCGAAGATATCACATTTTATAAGAATTTTAATTATTCAAAATATTACCAATTTGTTGGGGAGGTACTTGATGGATGGACAGATATTGCCTATTTTCGCACCTGACCTAGCACAGATGCAAATATTAAGATTTGCAAAATTGGAGCAAAATTGGATTGTCCTTTCTCTGTCTATGACGTAAAATATATTTTTTTTGAAATTTTCGGAGGTACCAGAAGTAGTCCATTTTCAAAATTGATATAAATTTGAAAATCATATTACAATACACCAAATTTGGACCAAATCGTTCTCTTAGATAGTTATCCTGCGCAACAACCAGCAGATAGACAGACAGGCAGACGGACGCACATCGATAGATCGACTCCAAATGCCCTGAAAAGGATTTCCTTCAAAGAGATCATTATTTCGATGAGCCACGTTTTGGCCGTATCAACCTTTCCTAGCCATATGACTGAGGGTATAAAAATCGAAAGCAAATGCTTCCGAAACAAATGGGTTAATTTATCCTGAAAATATTGTACAAGGATTATTGGGTAAATAATTTTCAAAAAAAATCTTCGTAATTCAGTGTTCTTTTTTGATATCATTTAAACAAATGAATTTTTAGAGGAACTTATTGGATAGAGTAAGTGAAGTCAACTATCCTAGCATTTCATTTTTTTTTTTAAATTTTTAAATTTTTGTTTTAAGATTCTTTAGTTTCCTTAAATTCCCTCATCGCATCAAGAGATAGAAACTCATCTGGCGCCACTGTATCTTGTTGATGTAATAATGTTTTTATCCATTGTTATTACATCATTTGTTGTTCTTGTTGTTGAACATTTAATATCCGCACACACAAACACCCACTCACACACACATACACACACTTACCCAGTCTTGGCGAAATTGCACCAATACGACATAACAGCCTCGGCCAATAGTTTCTCTTGAGGCGTGTAGTGGATGCCATGGAAGAGGCCAGCTGATGCTAGTGGTGCTCCAAAAACGAAGGCCAATTCCTCGCCCGCAATGCTGTGGGGTAACTGCAAAAGAAAAGAAAAAAAAAAAAAAACAACATCAACAAAAACATTCTGAAATGACAATGTACTGCTGCAATAACAAAAACAACAACAACCCGAATCAGGAAAAAACTGAAATTCGTTTACTAGAATTTGTGATTATTTTTGGTAATTGGTTTTATTATCATTCAAGATGCTAATGCCATAATGCACTACACTTGACCCTCTGAAAAGAAGCCGAGAAGAAAAAATCGAAAGATGTTAATAAAAATGCAATACACACTTCCACAATCTCACTTTTTCACACCCACACAAACACCGACCATTGTTGTGTAGTTCTTAATAGAATTTGCTTTTAAATTAAATTGCATGCAGCCAAAGTATCTCCCTCTCCCAGCAACTATTTCAATGTGAAGTGATTGCCTGGTATATGGCAAAGGGATATAAACATCCATACATATTAACAATGATGAAGATGATGGAGCAATGAGGAGGGAGTAGAGAAATCGTCATCTAAGAAACATTCATTTGCAATGTAAGTGATGTTATTTGGGAATTTGACAATTGAATTTGTCAGGACCCTGGTGTAATTACTCTCCAGGGAAAGGTCAAACAAATAAATTAGATTGCTTCAGATGCAAATGCAAAAGCAAATGCGACCGGCCGGGCTGGCCATGAGTAGAATCACTAATGGGAATTGTTTAAAATTGAACATTGATTAAACCACAAACACTTCGGATAGTCAAGGAAATGAACGAATTTCCGACACGACAAGACACAAAGCATTGTAATCGTATTAATCAATAAATCACATCATATGATGTGGGACGGAAGATATGCTCAAAGGACATCTCCCGTGTGATGAACAAAGGAGGAATATATTTGTTTGAAAGGAAAAGTATTTTAAAGGGGTCCGAATAGACCCCATGAGATTTTATTCGCAAATGCAATAACGAAATGGTTTGTCAAAAAGAAAAAAATGACCATATCATGGATGTCCTAGATAAAGGATTAATTTGTACCAATCAGTAAATCACATACAGGAAATCAGGGACATAAGTGAAAGTGGTAGTTTCGAAATAATAAATTGTTTTAGAAAGTTGTGGGTTGCGTCCACATTTTTTGAAAGGAGATTGTCAAATTAAACTCTGATTTCTGATTTCTATAGTTGCGTAAATATTAAGGAATGTCAAAGGGTAATTAAAACAATAATTTATGATATTTGTTATTATTTTTAAGGATATTTAAAGATTTATGCCTATATCAGAACAAGATGAAGAATTACATTTTTCAATGTAGGGTGAGATAAAAAAACTGCAACAAAGTCAGATCCCATAATTTGTACATCCTTTTATTAATTTTATTAAATAAAAGTATAAACTGTCGAAAATAGCATCAAATTCTAGAATAAGTTTAGATTTGTTCGAATTGGTCACCTTTGGCACGAATTATGGCCTTCAAACGACCAAACCGTCACACGCTGCCCGAATATTGCTCTGCGGTATTTTGGCTCATTCCCGGCCAAGCGCTTGCTTGAGGTGATCGACACTTTGGAAACTTTTAGTGCCCACCTCGTTTTCCAAAATACTCCAAACATAATAGCCCAACGGATTGGTATCCGGAGATTTTGGTGGCCATTGTGCGCTGGAAGTGAAGCGAGGAACCTCATTTTATAACCATTCTTGGGTGGCGCGTGCTGAGTGCGATGGTGCTGAGTCCTGTTTGCATGTTCAAGGTCTGCAGCCAAAATGATTGCGTGCCCAAGGCTTTAATACACCCTCCAGAATATTTTCGCGATAATATTCGGCATTTATTCTGATGCCACGGTCGATTAATACGAGTGGAGATGACCATCGGCTGTATATATTTTCACCTGACCTCGATCATTTTATTTGTTTACAAACTGCTGCACAACGAATGTTTTCTCATTGGAGAAAACAAAATTCGGCAGTTCACCACTCTTGGCCAAGCGAAGCAACTCTTTAGCTCTTTTGAGTCTATTTTCTTTCTGTTGAGGTATAAGTTCTTAAACTGTTTGGAATTTCAATGACTTTACCCCGAGCTCATTTTTCAATTTTTACAAAATTTTTAAGCCACTGCAATGCGGGCTTCAATCAAGTCGCTTCTTTACCTTTCGAACCATTTCTGTTGATGTTGCTGTTTTCTTCCGTCTATTTTAATGACGTCGGGCTACGTTACCAGTTTAAATGCTGGAGTGCTCTAAATATAGTCACTTGTGGTTTTCCAGCCAAATTAAAGAAAAATCACTTCATCACGCTTGAATTACATCACGAATAACTTTTTTTCTGGACAATTCTCACCAAAATGCTTCTGTACGCTTGTAAACAATATAATGAGCTGTCACTGGAATAATTTTAACAGCTGTCGGACGAAAGGCTTAAAAATGACAGCAGTCTGAAATTTGTTGCAGTTTTTTCATCTTACCCTGTTCAACGATACACCAGGAATACATAAAATCGAATAAAGGTTTTGCCCTCTTCCCCTCTAGCGGGTCAGTCATTCAAAAGTTGGGCTAAAATTGTTTTCAATTATAGGTCGATCTAGTTTCTTATCTACTTCTTTAGACTTCGGTCTAGAATTGAGTCAATTTAATTCATAGTTAAGTACACCAATTCCTTAACGTATGAGTTATTTCATGAATTTAATATCACTCATACGCAGAGTGTTTTTACAAACGGCCGGAGTACACGGAACTAGATAAGGAACTAGTTTGTTCGTTCGAACTAGATTTGCACTCTATTTGTCTTCACTCCGGTCATTTGTATGAAAATTCTGAATTGGTGACACAACTCTAATTAGGGCTAAACCATTATTCGATGAGACCCAGTTCGGCCGTATCTTGAAATGATATCGCTTCAGAATTTTTTTTATTCGAGAGGGTTTAATAACTATATATTTTTTAATCCGGACAGTCAGAGCGTTAGTCCAGCCAATTCATAGGCCTTTTTATAGACCAGTTATTTAGATTGCAATTGATTATATTTCAAATAACTGATCTATCTTCATAAAAATCTCAATTTAGGTGTATGCAATTTTGTATTTAGTCTGGCATTGAGGACTTGAAGGTTTTTTTTTTTAAATTTTCGATGAAAGAAATTCTTTAACGTTTTTCTTTCCGAAGAGTCTATTGCAACAAGCCTATGCTCATTGACATAATTAATTTCTCCACATTTAAGCTCCTCATATTATATTACTGTCGTATTTTCTATAATTCTCAAAACTCCATTCCCTAATGCAAACACACCAACCACATTGAAGATGAGTACATAATTACTTCTAATTTAAATCCTTGTTTATTCAGGAAAACTCAACTATTTCCACTAATTATCTTTATCCAGTCTGTTTCTTGCCAATGTAAATACTTAAAACATGTTTTTCTCCAGCAGAACCGCATTTCAATGTTCGTTCAGGCAACAGTCATTCAAGTGTGGCAGCAAAGAAGTGCATTCATAATGTAAAGCTAACTCATTTTGAAGATTAATTCGAGAACACAACAACATTCAAGCAAAGAAACAGTCTCAATCCTATGAATGTAAATACACACACACAGCGTAAAACGTGCAGACTTAAAATCCGTCTGGCAATTTCTTACAGATGCGCTTTCCCAAATACATAAACAACAATAAGAAATAAAAACAAACTTAAAAAATTCTTTACTCAAAAAGACGTGCTTATACATTGTGTGTGTGTGTGTGAGCGTCAAGGAGTTTCCTGCTTGTGGTTTTGTAGGGCTCTTTAGCCAAAATTGAATTACAACGAGAAGCAAAGGAAGTAAATGTAAGAGAACACACTTTTACGCCACGCACCACACAACACGTGTATTGTAATAATGTTAATTCAGGAAATGCACAGGAATATCTTTTTCTTGGTCCTGAAGTACGCCTGTCATGCTTTTAGATATCAACAAATATTTGCGTGTTTTTAAGACAATTTAAATCGCTTCACACAATCTTTTTTAAAAAAATTAAAGAATGCGGAATTTAAGGTTATAAATAGAACTACAGATTCTAGTACGTACTTAAGTTTAAGAAAATTGACTTTGGGTTGTAAGTCCTTCAATAACAGAAATTTGAGATATATATATGTATCTGTATAGAGGGTGAGATGAGTAAACTGCAACCAACTGCTGACATTGCTAAGCCACTCATCCGACAGCTGCTAAAAATATTCCAGTGACAGACAATTATATTGTTTACAAGCGTACAGGAGCATTTTGGTGAGAATTTTCCAGAAAAAAGTTATTCGTGATGGAATTCAAGCGTGATAGTGTGATTTCTTTATATTTGACGGGAAAACTACCAGTGGCTATCGTTAGAGCACTCCAGCAATGTGAATAAATCTTTTGTGTCTCGTACCATCGCTCGTTACCGTGATACTGGTAGCGTAGCCAACGTCAAGGAAGTGGACGGAAGAAAACAGCAATATCTGCAGAAATGGTTAGAAAAGTAAAGAAGCGACTTGACCGGAACCCGCGTTGCAGTGACCGAAAAATGACTCGTGAGCTGAACATATCGCAATATTCCATTCCGCAAATATTGAAAAAAGAGCTCGGGATAAGGCGCCACCCAAGAATGGTAACAAAATAAGGTTCCTCGCTTCATTTATACCGCTGAATGGCCACCAAAATCTCCGGATGCCAATCGGTTGAACTATTGCATCTGAAGTATTTTGGAAAGCAAGATTGGACTTAAAAAATACCAAAGCGTCGATCAGCTCATGCATTCGCTTCACAGGGAATGGGCCAAAATACCCCAGAGCAACATTCGGAGCAGCGTGTGACGGTTTCATTGGCGGTTGAAGGCCATAATTTGTGCCAAAGGTGACCAATTCGAACAAATCTGAACTTATTCTAGAATTTGATGCTATTTTCCGATCTTTTTTGCATTCATTCAATAAAATTAAAAAAAAAAATAAATAAAAATTATGGCGTTTGACTTTGTGGCAGTTTTTTTATCTCACCCTGTATAGAGAATGTTAACACATTTTTTGATTAATTAATATTC